AACTTTTGGCATTAAAATAAGTTTCTTTTTACTCTGGAAATAACACCTAGCAATATTCTAGGTTAAATACAACTGTCCACAGACACACTGTAAAATAATTTAAACTCAATCCTCAATTTGTAAAAACAAAAGGATAAACGGCAGGTTATGCAATTCTCATGAATAAAGTTTTTCTCCATGTAAAAAGTAACAATTTAATATTTCTAAAATGTTTCTGATTATTTAGGAATACCTTAGAACAGAATGTACGTTGTATTGTAAATATTATATTCATATTAAATATTTATTATTTAGAATATTAAGTTAAACTAAGAATATATTTTTGAATTTTTTTAAAACGGCATACTTCACTATTTTTTTGAAAGATAATGATTAAAATGTATAAATTGATTTTTTTACATCATCTAGTTAATATGCTAATTTGATCATTTACATTTGTATGAGAAATTGTTTGATTGCATGGTGATATTATTAATAGTATAATCTAATCTCACCTTCTCATCAAAGTCCAGTTCACGAATGAGCATTTCCTGTAGAGTTCTGAGCACTTTGATACAGAGCTTCTCATCTGAATTCATAAGAGCCTTTGTGTGCTGAATCAATCTGCACAAAGTTAAAGAGCAAGGTGATGACGACGCACCCTCACAAATAGTAATACAGCATTATGCAACATAAATTCTGTGCTTATTTGATCTAGCCACAAAATGCATGCTAAAAAGCTGTATGGTAAATGTAGTCCCAGTTTAAACAGAAGTGACTCACTTAGATATGAAGCCTCCTGATTCACAGCGTGATCGAGCATCCGTGCCTTCTAAGAACAACAGCTCGGGCTGGTGCAGCACATCCACCAGCACTGACAGCTCTGCATTAACCAACGGCATCACACGCTCCTCCAGTGTGTTAATGATATCCTAAGAGTGTTACAGAAACATTAATACACTACATTTACAGTATACATTATTATTGATAGAAATATAACTCAAACAAACTAAAGTCAAGTCTGAATTGTGTCATATGCAATACAGTCCAGGAGTGTCATGCACAAGTTGCTTAAGACCTTTTTAATATCAATTACTTTTGGAAGTCACTTGGCTCCAAAATCTAAAAGGAGATTAAATCACACATGCATATAGGCACCTGTAGTTTCTCAATGATGTTCTTGTAGTCCCAGGAGTTGGTGGGAGCAGCAGGCCGTGTGAGGCGTGACAGGCTTTTGTTGCTGAGGCTGGAGCGAGACAGTGTGAGGGCATTACTGAGACTCAACATCATATTGACATGAGCCTCCAACTCTACCGGCAGAGGGATGGAGCGACTCTTTGCTGTGGGAACAGTCAGGTAAACAAATAAGTTGTCTGGTCATACTTCAAAAACCTTTACTATATATGAGAAGAGAACTGAAACTCCTGCCACATTTTAGGCCTGTATAATAATTTTTTTTTACTTTTTTTATGCCTTAGAATCCATCTACTCTCAAACAAGTTGACTTACTTGTCACCGCCAGAGTTCGGATGCAGGATTCTACTTGGACTTTTTGTTGTGGCTGTAGCCAGGGACAATCTAACAGACGCATAGTAGATTGCAGCAGCTGCTTAACAATGGTGTGATGAGCCTGAATAAGACAAAAGAAAGAGAAAATGAGAGGGAGAAAGAGAAACCTGGAGAATTAAATGTGAACTTTAACTTAATACTTTTATTCAGCAATGACATTAAATTGTTTAAAAGTGAAAGTAAAGGCTTGTACATTGTTATAAATTTCTTTTTTAATTAAATCCTATTAAAATGTACCATGATTTTCACAAAAATATTAAGCAGCACAACTGTATTAAACACTGATAATAATAAATGTTTTTTGAGTACCAAATCAGCATATTAGAAACATTTCTGAAGGATCATGTGACA